ACGCAACATGTGGTTCAAAACATACTTTCTCAATTCGCAGTAAAAGTATAAAAAAAAAGTAAAGCTATTCCTGTAAAAGGCCGTGAAGGCCCATAGGGTTGAGCCGTTGAGGGTCCCACATTATCTAGACAATCGGCTCAAAAATGGTGGTAAGGTTGTCAGCCTTAAGCGCCGGCCGCGCTTTACTCCCCAGGAAAATTATTTAATTAATTCCTGGTACTCATTTCTGTTAGAGTCTGAGTGAACCCCAGGGCCATAGTGCGGCTGGAAGGATTACGTCAACTGAAAAATCCAATGACCTCATTGGGACTTGAACCCGCGACCTTTCGGCTTGTAGCATAGTGCCTCAACCAACTACGCTACCGCGTACCCCTTTCCAATTCGCAGTACCAAAATATGTGTACTGTACACAGAGCATTCCTGGCTCACTCCGCTGTTCACCAATGCTGTGACAGATTATTTAAGCCTATTGTTCATTTCAAACTCACATTATATTCGTACGCCCCATAAAATTATATTAGGGTTTAGGAGTTATTTTCTTTTCAGAGACAGTTTCACATTCCATCAAGACGAGTGTAACCCGTAGACGAACGAAGGAAAGGCGACCGGAAGTTGAAGCTTGCCTCTCATCGCGCCTACAGTCAAGATCTGAGAATTAATATGCTATCGCGGCAAGAAATATGTTTTCGGCATTGAGTAAAGAAAACTATATACTATAGTATTGGCTAATTGAAAAAAAAGTCATGTTTAAAATGAAAATGTCTCAGTTAAACTAGTCTTCTTCAAAAACGTTTAAATTCCCTCCGAGGGCTGGCCAACGTCCCGAGCTACATCCGTGTCCCATGTGAGGATCCTTAGAATGGGGATCTGAGAGGGATGTCTTCGTGTTTGTGAGGCGAAGAACGTGTATACATATTGTGACATGTTAACGCACTGCCAGGCAACGGCTCGATAAACACCCTGTATTACACGCACGCAACAATAGAAGAACGCGGTTATGCAACCCGTTTCTAGGTAACGGCTCGGTACACACACGTCACACAACACTGGGTAGAGACCACGTGACGTGTTTTCTGTGTGGTCCCTGTCCAAGGTTTACAGGGGACAAAGAAGGTCGCTTGTAATAGTACAAACTACAAGACAATTTGAGAACACAATAAAGAGAATGGAGCATGTCCTTAGTGAATTGTGAAGAGGTGAGTACAGATTAGGGCAGAGGCACAGGAAGTGGCTGAAGACAAGAAACTTCACAGTGATTTGAAGTGCTAGTTTCTGTGCTGAGATCCGTTGCTAGGAGACGATTAGTGGAAACTGAGAATCCTTGTGCGTGTGCAAAGGTGAACGGGAAGTGTGTAATTATGAGATTGTAACCGAAGTACCAATAAATCCGATCATATGATCTAGAACACGTTACTTTCGTCACGCGTACACCCACACACGTGACAATACTTACAAAGTTACACGCAGACATAAAATGAAATATGCATACGTTAAGTAAATTGTTAACAAAATGAACAACAAATTACTGCACTTCACCAACGACCCACAAACTCGAACACTACTTCGCTGCATTCAGCTTTGCGAAAAATACGTATCACTATACAAGTGCCTATTCTAAGCAAATAAACAAGATGTTTTGTCAGTTCAGTAACAGACCCACAGGTCTATGACTACTTAAAATGGAGGGAGGGTGGGGCCACGATCCACGTTGCAACATGCACATGCCTCTGTGGCAGATTTATAAAGCTAACGCGTGTGGATAAAACAGCAATAGAAGGAGAGAAGTATTTTAGATACGCTGACACAAAATGCTTGCTTAAGGTCAGTAAAATTTACAAACCCACTTACAACACTGAAAAATCTGATACAGGCAAGGAGGTCTATCATTTCTCAACACATTCCTATCGCACGTAAGAACTGAGCGGGATTCCTACCTATAACTGATTTCACTACTTTATCTTCTACGAAGAAGTAAAGTAAAGCTATCCCTGTACCAGGCCGTGAAGGCCCATAGGGTTGTGAGACGTTGAGGGTCCCACATTATCTTGACAATTGGCTCAAAGATGGAGGTAAGGTTGTCAGCCTTACGCGGCGGCAGCGCTTTACTCCCCAGGAAAAGTATTTATTTAATTCCTGGTAGTCATTTCTGTTAGAGGCTGAGTAAACCCCAGGGCCTAGTGCGGCTGGAAAGATTAGGTCAACTGAAAAAAAAATCCAATGACCTCATCGGGACTTGAACCCGCAACCTTCCGGCTTGTGGCATAGCTACGCTACCGCGCAGAAGAGTGCACCTAAGCTGTAAGTTAACTGCCCATTAGCATGGGTATGCTGTGGTGCATTTCCTCACGGGATCAACTAACTCCACATGGGAGTGCTTCTGCAGAAGTTTACTGTCGCTCATTTCGCTATAACATCAGCATGGTTCACTTACTGAGTTCACAGAGCCAGCCACTGGCCTTCTCCTCAGCCACATGTTCATAGCCTATTTCCCTAAACACCATTTGAATGCTCTCCCACGGGATCGTCTCACTGCAGTCCTGTGCTCAGTTCTCGTGTCTCCCATGCGTACTACTGCCTCTCCCATTTCTTCTTTCTTGAGCTCATGACTTCAATAAGCCGACGTGGTGAAAATCACAAATCATAATGCTCTTCGCTGTGTATTTTTCTCCATCCTTCGTTCCATATTTTGCACTAGTATTAAGCACGTCCCCGGGAAAACATAGACAGTCTCTCCAGACTCAAATTATTCAATGAAGAACTATCATGGCCCAAGGTTCCTGCGAAAGCACATTCTTTCCTTGTCGAATTTATCCAGTTACCGTTCAGCTGTTTGGCTGTCTACTTATCAGTAACTTACTGGATGAAATAAAATGAAAACTACAACAAAAGTAAGAGCTTTTTTAAAATGTGTTAATAAATAAGTACAACACATTTGTTCCAATTTCATTCAGTATAGATACAAAATTTTACACTTTCTCCCTCATAACTTCCAAATAGTTCGTACTGGGGGGAGGACTGCATTATTTCCCACGCGTTTAGTGATAATATGGAAAATCATTACGCATGTTTTTCCTAAGATCCGCCCATCTGTGTGCAGGGGATGCAAGTATTACATTAGAAACACCTATGCTTGCCGCAAACAATTTCTGAAGTTCGGCGACAGTTAAAAACTACACTAAGGGTTATTTCAGAGCCTAACGCAAAACGTTCGCCCAGTCCGTGGGAAGGGTTGCACGCTACTCGCTTGAACGCCTACCGCGCATGTTCGGACTCGTGGCGTAGTCTACAGTCCAATAGCCTACACGCATCACAATTTCTCTCCAGCATCACCCCAATAAATACCTGGGCAGCCACCGTGTTGCAGCCTTCCGTATTACAGGCCTGTCGACAATGATACGTAGGCCCCTAAGCAATCAGACCCCTTGCTTTTTGTGTAAAATGCCACGTGACAATTGCACGCTGAAACGAGGGTTAATGTACGATATTCATGAGAAAATTAGGGAGAAGATTCCTGCATAAATTATAGGTAACACAGTTCCGAAGAGAAACTATCTTACAATAAATAAATTTAGAAGTATAGAGTCGCTACTGGACAAATCAGAGCCGAATTAAAACGCCGAATGTTCACTGAAAGGCGACTGAACGAAACTGTTGTTGGGCCTGAAAATTTTCCTCTAAAACCCCTTAGTCGCCTTGCATGGGAGACCAGGGTTTAAATGTGAATATTTTACGGAGCTGAAAGGAATTTGTAACAACAAGAAGCCATTTCTTGAATCTGCTGTGTTATGGGTGGGTTTTATAATTTGTAAGATTCAGTGGTCTATGGGTTTGCCGACTGCGTTACGGGTTTAGTCAGACCCAAAAAGAAAAGTTAACGGTAGGAGTGTGTGACCCTCCCGCCGAACCGACCGAAACATTTACAACTAAACTAAACTCCGTGTTTTGAGTCCGCAAGCGAATATACCGACCGAGCGACCGCCGCTTGTCTGCGAAGTTAGTGCCAAGTTTAACGGGTAGATGGTGTCGCGTGGTCAGCGCAACGAATCCCCACGGACGAATCCCAAAGATCTACATGCTCTCAAATAACCTTCCTGCACCTTCAAACACACGTATGATGCAACAGGTAATGGAAAACTGGTCGAACAAAAATAGTAATACGAAAATGAATATGCACGGTCTGTTACAATTACGTCACTTAATGCTGCATTAACGATTTGATAAAAGAATTGAATGGGCTATTTTCTTCCTATTTTTCACTAACGGCTTTTAGGTAATTCTCGTCAATCTCTCTAGATGAGGTTATCATTTGTGAACATAAAAAAAAATAGTTCCTCTGTTGTCACGCCATATTGATTATGAAGCGGTTCAAAATAATTCTCTAATGACAACTTATTTACGAAACTTTAAGCAACCATGTAATCAACATTCATTCTGTGAACCTTCCTTTGGTTATACGCTTAGACTAAGTCCTTGTCACAGTGGAAGGAAGACAACAACCGTTGTGAGATATCCATCATCTTTACTGTCACTGAAATTCCACTGGCCTACGCACTCAAACTGTTATACGCAAACTAAAATAGTTTCCTGTAACATGTCCATCAAAAAAGCGTACTCTAACCCACCAATCACTTCAAGCAGGCCCTATAATATTTTCCGAAGCACCGAAAACATTCACGCTCTGCCGGATATATCCTAATTGGGCTCACTGATCTCTGTTTCTTGTACTAAACGTTTTTATGGTGTTACGTTTACTTGGAACTGTAGCGCAAGGTAAACCTTCCATACGTAACTTCGGTCTATTTTTAATGGACATATTCGTGAAACTGATGTCTGATTTGCTGTTTCCATTAACAAGAAAACAGTATATAATATGTAAGAAGTTAGGAATACCGACCGACTGTGATTACACTGAAAGCCAGCGATGATCGTAAATGTTTGTGGAAGCTCCCTCGACATCTAAGAGTTTACAAAACAATAAATCAGACCATTTTTCTACTCACCCCAGCCATAGGGCACTTCCCATCCAGAATCAGACCAGATATGTAGTCCATATTCCTATACTTAATGCTGCCATTGAAACACATATGGATGTTTTCGTTGAATTTGGCTTCGATATCTTGAAGACTATATACACACACTGCGGAACGGGGTTGTGGCTCATTGGTGATTCCTCGGCTTGGCCCGAACACGCCCACCAGCACATGATCCGCTGTCTTGATCCCTAGACCCGCGGCGAGATCTGCCCCTGCCTCTGTCACTTTAGCATCCTGAATTAGATTATAATTGACCATGGAGCCAGGACTTGTGGGGTCTCTGACCAGGCACTGTAACGTTACCTCGGTATAGCTATCGTAATTAGCGTCATTAATACAGGTCCTTGCGAGACGGGACACGTATCCGAGTTCCTCCTGTCCTGGCAGAGGTGACTGCTTCTGAACGATTACAAAGTATGCAAATTCACTCGCGTTAAACCCGTACACATATTTCACAAGAAAATGGTCTCTATACTTGACGTCTATACGGACGATGGACTGTTTAGAGAAGCTCAACTCTGCGTACTCGAGGTTATAGAGGTTACGGCTCGAGATGGCCGGCACGTCGTCGCGGTACTCCCCGTTGTTTGTGAACGTAGTGCCCACATAAAGCACGTTGGACCTGCCCCAGGGGTTGTAGTGCTCGGGCCCGATAAATGCGTACGTTGATGCCACTTCGTCGTTCGCTGCAATACTGGTAGGAATGAATTCTGGCTGAAGCGAAATGTTCGCCATCTTATATTTTTCACAAGCTCCTTGTTTGAGAGAACCACACGCGATCAGAGTGCGAGACTCTGGGTCGATGACCAGCACTTTGTTCACGTTATCCATCAGGGTTGTTGGAATCACAGGGGAGTCACAACCACTTGCGTGACACTGCGGACTATCTTTAAGCGGTCCTGTTACAGCAGTCTCCTCTATTCTCAGTCCAGCATCCAGTTGCAATAGTTTATTCACTGCACCCGCGTACACTCGTCCTGTACTCTTGTCCACCACCAGATGCGTGAACCTCAAAGCTTTGCTGCTGTTTTCGCTGTCTGTCGCTGGAGGGTACAGGGCAAAGATGTGTCGAATTGGTGAAGGCGTAACTGTGACATCGGGACGTTGGGCTGGTGGTGGTCCAGTACTACTACCACCACGGCCCATTCCCATTTCCGTGCCCTCTCCGCCGACTGCCAGGGTGACAACCCCAAGACCGAAGCTTAGCATCACGAGGGCAGCTACAATGCCCATCCTTATAGCGAGCGCTACGTTGGCACCGGGTCTAAGAAAACGCCACCATCACCACACCTATAACCAAAATAAACGTATAATTAGACGTATAATTACATTTCACATCTTCACAATGTTGTTCATACGGCCCGAGTTTCACTCAATACTAAAATGTAAGGAATTTACAACACTTGTGAGGCTGACCAACATGAAGGGTTTGTATTTATTTTGGGGATGTCATCACTCCATTATTGTAACAGCCCTTGCCGACACGACGTTCGCTACTTGGAGCGAGAATCGAGCGCCTATAACATCCCTCAAAGCAAGTCCAACAAATATTGAGGACTTCGTGTTATACCCCACACTTCCCAACGTTCATGACTGTGCCCGATGCGCGCGCAGACGCAGCACACAGCGCCACGCTAGCAAGCGAGCACTGCGAAGACCACACAATCCACAGATAACTTCCTAACGATGGGGCGACCCACTAGGTTACCTAGATCACATTTCTTTGCATAAATGTGCTGCTGACGCACTGTATTTAGTTGCCACGCCTTGGGAAACTACGATAGAATGCGATACTGACAGCAGAGTATATCGCACTTTCCACAGGAATGGTTATGGCGGGAAGCAGTGGAGTACCACGCCATTAAGGCGTATGGGGGAGTGCAGGTAACGCTACGCAAATGCTCTGTTAACCTCTGCACTCTACACAAGTTATTACTGTATTACTATCCTCTGCAACATGTAGACTGCAGGGTCGCCATAAAACTTACATGGAAAAGCAAAATCCCCAAATACAATGCATCGCGTTAGAATTTTATCATATCTTAGGCTTATGGGTCCACTGATAATCCTAAAAATGCACGAAGGTGTATCGGCAAAGCTGACATGCTCTACAGTGTTACGGGCAATACTGGTGTACGTTCCTCGCTGGTTTTCACAGCCTGTCCATGCGAACTCCTGCACAATACCCTGAGAAGGTACCGACAGCCACAAATCATGTACTCATCTCATTAGACACTACATAACCTATGCAACTGAAATCCTGCATCCTTAAATAACCTGAGCATGTAAGTAAAAAGTAAAGCTATCCCTGTAACAGGCCGTGAAGGCCCATAGGGTTGTGAGACGTTAAGGGTCCCACATTACCTTAACAATCGGCTCAAATATGGCGGTAAAGTTGTCAGCCTTACGCGCCATTGCCCTCATCTTGAACCCGCGACCTTCCGGCCTGTAGCATAGTACCTTAACCACTATGCTACCGCGTACCCCAACCTGAGCACGTCTATTTAGAAATTTTGATCAACAAATCTAAGCTGTGCAGATGGTTTGAGGCTTGTGGGGCTCCACTCACGGCAGTATGTCTTATGGAAAACAACTCAATGCAATGTGTCTTGCGGGGTTTATAACTGAGGGTAGCACGTCTTGGCCTTAATTCATGGTGTTGTGTCTTGCGGGTAGTATGCCTGGTCAGTTCGTCTTGTCAATCGTCCTTATGACCACGCGCTGTCACCAATACCCGCGGTGATTATTGTCTGTACTTGATAATTGGCTGTGAAATGACTAACCTGTGAGGCGAAAGCTTGTATTATGAACTAGTCTCTCTACCGAAGAGAAACGCAACTGAAACAACATATCAACACAAGCGTATCGCTTTTCCATATTATCCTGGGTCCCCTTGTTTTGGCTGAAGGTGGGGGGTCCTTTTTTATGATCAAAGTGTATAAATTCTTAAGATGCCGACGAATGAAACATGTCAAACATTTGGTTCCACAGGCTTATCTAGTTACAGAACGTCACAATTTGTATGTACAGAATTCGATCCCAGCCACAGGAATTGCAATTTCCTCCAGGACGTAACACATGGATTTCCTTCCTCCCATTCGCCCATTGCGTCAATCCCGCATTGGGAAGTTTCGCGAATTAACGTGGTTTTATTCAGTTGCTTCATTTAAGAGTTGGACTCTTTCTAAAACAAATTATTAGTCCATTTTTATAATTACAATTACATTAATCAAGGTCTCAAAAAGCTTGACTAAATGAAACATCATGAAAGAAAGGGAACACAGTAACACTGCTGTCACACACTGCGAAGTACGTATCAAGACAGATAAAACAAAGCCCACCACTGGACATCATGCTGAAATAATTTCATCCAGCTAAGACGAATTTTAATGGTTCGTTCACACTCCTTCTCTATTTTCCAACTGGACTTTTCTCAAAAAAGATCCGTATCACAATTCTGCATCTATCCATTACAGCTGCATACCCAGCCAATCTAAAAGTTCAAGTTCACTGTTCTAACAATTCTAGGGAACCAACGTAAATCGCGGTCCTTCTTTATGTCAATGATTACGTAAACAACCTGTGGACAGATACCACTTGGCCGGCCGGTACTTCCTGCGTGGACCACTGCCTTATTCAAGAATGAACTAAAATAATTAAAGAGTTTCAAAAATCCAGGGGGCGAGCTCCTCACTGACACTTCTTCATATGAAATATTTTTTTTTCTTGCGGTTAGAGTGAGGCAGAGTCCACTTGGCACGTTGGGCCAACCCCAGATGACAGATGAGTGTGGAGGATTTGGCTGAATGAGGACTGGCAAAGGAAACCGCAGTACTGGAGAAAACCTGCCCCAGTGCTACTTCGTCCACAACAAACCCCACGTGACCTGACCTAGAAGCCGGAGAATAACCGTCGCCTGAGCTTCGGAACGGCCTTAAAATTAGGTAAACGTGAAAGGCGACGTTGTCCCTGTACCTAAACATTGTGCCCCGAACGCAGAAGGTTGGGGGGGGGGGGCAGTGAAGTCCCATGCTATCTGTTTGTCGGCACTTGATGAAGGTGAATGGACAGCTTCATGGCCTAGCCGCTTTATATTCTACATAATTCCTCTGGCATATCTACACACATGGTAGCCTCAGTCATTACAATTTTACACATTTTCTTTCACTGTCAACTTATAACAGACCCTGCTTAAGCTATTACAAACAATTATCCCTCAGAATGCAAAATCTGATCATTTGATTAGTGAAAGGTTCGGTCAGCACCGATCTAAATAATACTAAAATGGTCGGCTCCTGCTTCAAAGAGAAACGAAATAAATTTCCGTCAGATTGAAGGGTCAGATAAAAAGAAAGCCTTCGGGAAATATCCAGCGTTGTCGGAGTAGGTGGTACACTAATTTGTCCCAGTCAGAATGGAGTAAACACTACAACAGCATCCAGAAAATTTCGCTACAGAATATTATGTGAGATATTAGGCTGCTATACACGAACAGTCACAACAAAAAGTTAAAATACTGCTGCAATCTATATTTATTTTACACGAAACCGGTATCCTCACAATACTGTCACACAGAAACTGCCAATTCTGAAAAATCCTGCTACTAACATAGCCCTGCCGGTCACGGTAGCCGAGCGGTCTAAGGCACTGTCTTCGCTCGCTCGGAAGCCGGGATCGTGGGTTCGAATCCCACTCAGGGCATGGATGTTTGTGTGCGTTTTTCTGTGTTTGTGTACTGGTAGAGGCCTTGCGACGAGCTGATCACTCGCCCAAGGAGTCCTACCGAATTTGTAAGCTCTAGTAAACTAAAGTGAAACGGAGAGTTTCATGGAGGTAGGCCTAGGCCCAAATTGGGGCTGTAGCGCCACAGAAAAAAAAACATAGCCCTAGTGCGTTTATACATGGGCCTACAGAAACTTCAAAATATTTTACAGCCAGTAATTGGGGGGGGGGGTCCAGTCAACTATGAGTCGCACCACTCTTCGGGGGCCATTCCCAAAGAAACACGTCACTTCTGGTCTAGTTTTACTTTACGTTTGAGGTCAGTGAAAGAGACATCCAAATTCCTCAATACTTAATAGGTAACTAGGCCGCGCCATAGGTCAAGCGGTTAGTCGCTGGCTTCCCATCGCGGCGGCCCGGGTTCGTTCCCGGGGTGTCAAGTGGGATTTGTGGTGGACAAAGTGGCGCTGGGGCAGGTTTTCTCCGAGTACTTCGGTTTCCCCTGCCAATCTTCATTCCACCAATTGCTCCACAATCACCCTCACCTATCATCTGGGGCTGGTACAATAGGCCAGAAGTTGCCGCAGTACAAGGGGCTTAGTCCCATCCCACTAGCAACTATGGTCACTCGGTAAGATTCTGTGTTACATGTTACCATCGTAACACGTTTACCCAAGTGGGGCTTTATAAACAAGTCCTACAACTTGAATGGATGGCTTACGCTCTTCAAAAACAATACTCTATTTTGTTGACGGAAACTGAAGAGAACTGATATAGGGTATTAAGGTCAAATGTGCAACTCAGACACAGTCATCATGTTACTGAATGGCAGTAGCAGATGAACGCCATTACGCAGCCCATAATCAGCAATACAACCATTATACGGTGTAGAGGAAATTACACTATTTAAATTTAATTTAAAGTTTAGTTATTAGGGTTCCTGAAACTGGTCTTCACTGTACTGACAGCAGCGAATAACCAATGCAGTTGAGTCGACTTTAAACCCATTAATCAATCAATTAATCGCAACTGTACCACGACACACGAAGCAACCAATCAATCAATCATGACTTTATTACCAATGTTGGGGCAGTCGGTACACTGGTCACAGCTTTGAGGCCACCGAAAAGTGACAAATCTAGATTCTACTTTAGAACAGTGGCCTATTGCTGTTCACTTTTCAAGCAAATTGTTTGAAATAAAATATTAAATTAGACAAGTAACTGGAACCTATATTTTTGGTTGCAAAATGCGTTCATTCTGGCGATACATGATGAGTCAGTAACACGTGCATGTTTCATCGATGAAATTCTTTTGCATCAGATATGAATCTGTTAATTTGTGAACTTCTTTCTTATATTACGAGTAAAAATTTGAGGTGTACATGTTTTGATTCATGAATAAACCTAATTCGTAAGGCGAAAGCAAAATGACATGGAGTTTAATACACGTAACACCGCAAAACTCCACGCAGTAATATCACTAAATGCTCCAAACAGCTAAGGACCTTCTGAAAAATTACTACTTAGCCAAGGTTTCTTTACTGCCATACGGAAGGTTGTCATTAT